TTTGAGGTAGAATCATATAGAAGTTGTTCCAACGAGAACATAAGCCTTAACAACTTCTTTGGAGCTGTCAAATCCGGTTTTATTGCACTTGTATGAGCTCGTAACAATCCATTAGTAATCCACCTTCCAACAACGCTTTTAGAACATTGTATTGAGGCTGCCAACCTACGGACCGTACATCGTTTTGAATAGGAAGGAACACTTTCAATCAATTGCATGTTCGGAAATTTCTTTTGACGCTTGTACGCTTTTTTTTTTTTTTTTTTTTTACTGCAAATATGGATCAATACACCTTTTTCCATTTGCCTTTTTGTTTCCCTCCAAAATATGCCAAATGTGCTTTTTGACAATGAAAATTTACATTGTGCTTCCAATAATTTTCCATGTGCAGACTTTCCATTCTTTAAATTTTGAAGCAAAAATTGGACCACTTTATTTCGATCTTTATCACTCAATTCTTTTTTTCCTATCATTACAAACCTGAAGTGAAGAAAATGTTTATGTTTGAATGAATATGATGATTGAAGACCTAAATGACAAAAAAAAAAAAAAAAAAAAAAGAGGTTAGAAGGTAAATTTACTTTGTCTGTATGTAATTTATCTTTTTAATGTAAATTTATTTTATAATATCTAAACTGAAAGAAAATGCCAACAAAGATTACCTTTTGAAATTGGATGCAAATTTGATTATGTCTGTCTTGCCGGGTCGATTTTGGCAGGCATTAATGGAAGGGGAATAGTTTCACTACTTGAAGATTTTGTTTTTTGTAAATATCCGTGGATTCAGCAGCATTTGGAATGAAAATTAAATGACTGTATATGAGATACTTATATTCACTGCATATGTAATTATTTGGAGGGAAAAAATAGTGGAAAAATGATTTTGCACCATTTGGCTTGCAAAGTTTAATCTATGTGTTGCATTATTTTATTGCAGGTAAATTGATTTTTGAGTACTAATGATTTTAAATGCATATTATGGTTATTGTAGGTATTAGTAGTTTTTTTTTTACTGCATTCAGAGTATTTATTTATATAGTTTTTGGAGTATTAATGAATTTGGAATTTTTGCAGATTATTATTAGAGTATGTTTATTTTAAATTAATTACTGTTTACTACAGGTATGTCCATTTGCGTAGTTCTATTTATGTTTAAATTTATTTAATGATGTTTAATTATAAATATAAATATAATTAATACATATTACGAAATTTTAAAATTTAAAATAAATTATGCATATAAATTAAATAATAAAATATATTTTTATTACACAAAATCATTAAACAACTAATCTTTACTATTTAAATAACTAATCTATTCTGCCTAATTCTCGTGCCCATTCAAAAGGTGTCATCCCTACCTGGATGGAGGGAGTATTACACAAAGATCAATGGAGTTGAAACATATATGGTAGACCAAAAGTCTACAGATTTTATGATTTGACATGACCGCTTTGGGCATCTCGGTAATACTATGATAAGACGAATTAATGAAAATACCCATGGTCATAACTTGAAAGATCAAAGGGTATTAAATACAAATGAGCATAAATGTGTTGCTTGCTCAAGAGAAGTTAATAACTAGACCATAATTAGACCATTACCAGCAAAAGTGGGAACTGAATCCTCTACATTTTTAGAACGAATTCAGGGTGATATATGTGGGATTGTAGATCCACCATGCGGACCATTTCGATATTTCAAATAATTAAATTACGAGCTCAGTTTCCATATAACCTAATAAAGAAAATTCTTCTTGATAATGCTGGTGAATTTTCATCTAAGACATTTGATGATTGTTGCATGTATATTGGAATTGACATTGAACATCATGTACCTCATGTACATACTCAAAATGTTCTAGCTGAATCATTTATAAAAAGGCTGCAACTAATTGCAAGACCTATGTTAATGAAATCCAAACTTCCTGTATCTGTTTGGGGACATGCAATTATGCATGCAGCAACACTGATAAAATTAAGATCGACAAGCTATCATAGCTACTCCCAAGTACAATTGGTGTACAATGAAAAATTCAATATTTCATATTTGAGAACTTTTGGGTGTGCAGTTTATGTGTCAATTGCACCGCCCCAACGTACAAAAATGAGCTCTCAACGGAGATTTGGGATATATGTCGGGTACAAATCACCTCTATCATTAAATAACTTGAACCATTAACTGGTGATTCGTTTACAAGGGGAGAAACTAATCAATTGAAAAAGAAAATTACTTGGAAAATATCATTCAGTTTTCTTGATCATTGTACAAGTCAAAGTGAATTAGAGGTGCAAAGAATTTTACATTTGCAGCCAATAGCAAATAAGTTGTCTGATGCTTTTTGTGACGCCAGCAAGGTCACTAGATCTTATATAGCTGCTGAAAATGTATCTGCTAAAATTGTTATTCCTAAAAAAAAAAAATACAAAGTGCTAGTGAATCAAATGCACGCCTAAAGCATGACAGACTAGTAGGTTCCAAAGATAAAAATTTTCGAAAGAAAACATGAATAAATGAAAGGGTTGATGATTTGAATGTTAATCAAAACACTCAAGAAACATGGATCAGATTTCTGAAGAAATGATCAGAAATCTGATCCATATAAAAAACTTGCTGAGGATGTTAATCATAATAAAATTTCTTCTGAAGAAAATGAAATCATTGAAAATTCAATATATTATGTTACTACTGGAAAACATTGGAACCAAAATAATACAATTATGGATAATATTTTTACATATAATGTAGCATTTGATCTAATGGAAATGACGAGGGTCCAGAACCTATGAATGTCAGAAAAGAATAGATTGGCCAAAATGGAAAGATGTGATCTAGTCTGAATTAGATTCACTGGCAAAACGGAAAGTTTTTTGACCTATTGTTCAAACACCCGAAGGTGTTAAACCTATTAGCTATAAATAGGATTTGTTCGAAAGTGAAATGAGAATAATGAAATTTTCAAATATAAAGCAAGACTTGTTGCTCAATATTTTTCACAAGGACTTGAAGTTGATTTTAATGCATCATATTCTCCAATAATGAATGGAATAACATTTTGATATCTTGTAAGTTTGGGAGTACATGAAAATTTGGATATGCGTCTGATGGACGTCGTAACTGCCTAATTATATGGCTAGTTGGATAGTGATATTTACATGAAAATCACTGAAGAATTTAGTATGTCCGATTTATATAATCAAAGCAAAAAGAATGTTATTCTATTAAATTACAAAAGTCTTTGTATGAGCTTAAGCAATCTGGTCGCATGTGGTATAATTGTCTCAGTGAATCATTATTGAAAAAATGATATGTCAATGATTTTTTTTGCCCATGTATTTTTATAAAGAGAAATGAAAGAAAATTTGTGATAATAGTAGTTTATGTAGATTATTTGAATATAATTGGAAATCCTAAAGAGATCCAAAAGGCTATTGAATATTTGAAATTGGAGTTTGAAATTAAAGATTTTGGAAAAACGAAGTTCTGTCTTGGTCTACATTTTGAACATTTGGAAAATTGATACATCAATCGGCATATACCCAGAAAGTATTGAAATGATTTGCAATGGATTAAACACATTTATTAAGTACTCTAATGGTCATTAGAACTCTCGATCATATTAAGGACCCTTTAAGACCAAAATAGGAGAATAAGGAAACACCTAGTCCTGAAGTACCATATTTAAGTGCTATTGGTGCACTGTATCTCGCTAACAAGTACTAGACCAGATATAGCATTTATTGTAAATTTATTGACCAAATTTAGTATAATGCCAACACAACGACATTGAAAATGAATCAAACATATTTTTATCTCCAAAAATTTATTGATCTCGACCTATTATATCCAAAAGGATCTCAACGTGAGTTGATTGGATATGTAGATGCTAGGTATCTTTCTGACCCGCATAAAACTAAGTCTCATACTGGCTAGACATTTACTTGTGATGGTACAGTGGTATCCTAGAGATCCACTAAACAAACATTAACTACCACATCTTCAAATCATGCAGAAATAATAATAATTAATGAGGCTAGTCGAAAGTGTGTGGCTAAAATCAATGATTCACCACATTTTACAAAATTATGGTTTGAAATCTGAAAAAGATAATCCTCCTACTATTTCATATCAACTGAAAGGAGGAGATTTCAAGGGAGATAGAACAAAGTATATTTCATTGAAATTTTTCTTTACTCACGATCTCCAAAAAAAACAATGAAATAGATGTGCAGCAGATTCGATCGAACTGAAATTTAGCAGACTTGTTGACTAAGGCTTTACCGACCGCAACATTCGAGAAATTAGTGAAGAACATCAGGATGCATCAACTGCAAAATTTCAAGTGATACCATATCAGGGGGAGTATTTTTAATGCATGAATATCGTACTATTTTTCTTTAATTAGAATTTTTATCCAACTGAATTTTCCTAATAAAGTTTTAACAAAACATATTCGTTGCATTTAATGACATCTAAGGGAGAATATTACGAGGAAGAATATTATGACGCATTAGTGATATATAATAAATGTCATTTCTCATTTCTCTATGTTGCCAAGTCATCCAATTTGATGGCTAATCCTTGTAAATTGATCTATATAAATAATAGGCTTGAATATTGGAATAAAATTGGAAGGATTTTACTCACGCTCTCTCTCTCTCTCAAATCAAATTCAATTATACACACACCTTGTATGCATATAATATTTATTTATAAAATACATCCACGGTTCTATCTATATTTATAAATATATTTATATTATATCTTATTTTGTTATATATATTATAACAAAATTTAAATTTAAACTAGAATTATTCAAAGAGTGTATGCACGCCGCGCGCACATGGATTCTTGTAAGCAACAATGTCATGCACAACCAACATTCTCTATTCAATTATTCAACACACCCGAACATAAAAATAGATTAAAAAAAAATAAAATGAAGGAACATGAACTGTAGTACATAACTCATCAGAAAAGAAACGAGCAAACTATCTCCATAACCGTCTCAAATAATCATTCCCATTCCCTTTCAACTGTAGCAATGGATGACAAAAAATAATACTAATAATAATATTCATCTTTATGTGAAGTAGAAAGAAAAACACTATCAAATTTGTTCCTTTGTGAACCTTATTGTTATCATTAGAACACTACTACTACTACTACTATTATTATTATTATCATTGTCATTATTATTATTATTATTGTATGTACCACAATCATCACTTCTTTCTCATTGATTCCTGCTTGCATGCTTGCTATAAAGGGGGGATGTAGGAAGAATGCTATGAAGCTCATCTTACTCGTTCAAAATGTTGTCGGACGGTATTTGACCAAAAATATCAGGGCATCCTTCCCAGTTGGCCTTTTCTCTTGCTTCCCAGTACCCTCCAATATAGCGATATGTATCAGACCCTTTGTCCTTGGCAAACCACCGGGGTTTCCAGCCACTCTCTTGCATCTTCCGTGCCTGTTTACAGAAAATCAGTGCAGTGCATTCAGATCGATCAAACATAGTTCAAATTTAGGTTGATAGATAACACACATATCCCTAGAAAGCTTCCAACAATGGAAATAAATAGCCCATGGAATTCAGGTTTACTTCTCCATTTAATCTATTATTAAGCAATGCTCCAAAGACAGACCAGAATATTTCTAGAGATATGCCAGCTGCTGCTAATATTGTTTTCAAAATGGAAAAAGACAACTCGTCATAGATGCAGTATTTTTAACTCATATTACTGAAATCACAATAACCCTCAGGTGTAATCAAGTTGCACCTAAGTGTGCCAGAATGAAACAATCTACTACTACGAGTTACCTGCCGCTGCCGCTGTTCCAGCCGCAATTTTTCACCATTTGCCCTATCATACTCCCCATTTTCCAAGCATCTTTGATCAGGTCTAAGTCTAGAATCTGTAGGAGGTAGCTTCTCCTGCAAAAAGTGAAGGTTCATTGAAGTTTATCTAAGCTGATAAAGCAGCAGATCATCAGAACAGTTAAACATGTCTTTAATACATCTCCTTTCATTCCCTGTGAGGTGGCTTTGTTTACCCCACTTTTGGAGGTTTTGTCAACAATAATTTTTTTAAAAACATCCCATCAAATAACTATTCTCTCTTACTATTACATCACATCAAATTCTAACTTTTTACTATTTACAATTTTTTCTCAAAACTTCAAAAGTCTTTGGCTAAACGGAGCCGTGATATTTTGAGAGTATAAAATTTTAAGACGGGAGGACTCATGCCACACAGAAAGAACTATCCCAAGGGACCAGGTTGTTGAAAAAATATAGCAGATAACACTAAAATATTTATGACACCAAGAAGATAACAAACTAGAATTGAACTGACACATAAGAAAACCAGGGCTGGAGTAGGGAGTTCACTCATCAAACCAACTTCTGAAATTGAATATATTGAACAGAAGCTTCTCAATAACTATAGGACATGGAGATGAGCGCGCAGTCTTAACATTTGTACAAACAATTAAGTTCTGAAAAAAATTACCTTCAACCCAGGAACAAGTTCGTTCAGTGTGATTGCAAACCGTGTCAGATTGTAACGTGTGGGAACCTTTGGTGGCTTGCTACATTTCCAGAGTAAGTGGGCTTCTGATGGAGACTCATGGCCTTTTCCCTTAAAAGAGCAGTCTCCTTCAACATAATGCATGCTCTCGTCCCACTTCCCAAACAAAGTTGCTACAGTCTTTCCACTCTTTTCTTGAACAAGACCTTGCACCTGCAATGTCAAATTTTACCTTACAGCACAGCTTGAACACAAATGTGTGTAATTAAGTGCACGGTACTTGGCATCTCAACACATATATTGAGATTACAAAATAAGAAGAAGCCACAATTCATCATTAGTTCAAAAATAGGAAACCAACTTTAGATAGGCCTAAAAGCTGTTGAGAAATAGAAGTACCTGATGAGGATTCCTGTCTATGATGGACTGCTCTTTGAATTTTAATTTACAAGAGTAATCACGGTTTCCTTGTATTCGCATTGTACCATAATGATCGCAATACAGTTTCCCCAGAATAAGATTGTAAATGGATGTTGTTACCTGTCATATCAAGTTTCTATGCTGGTCAATCAAATCAACAGAGAATAAATTCTCAATCTTTTCTAAGAATACCTTGCTCCATTGGAACACTTCTCCATCATCAAATTCAAGTGTCAAAATACCAACTGGATCAAGCTGAATGGAGCGACCCCAAAATTTGCTTTTTAAATTGCTATCACCATAAAACTTCCAGCCTGTACCTTGGCAATGGCATGCTACAATCATGGGGTGATGACTCACCTAATCCAAAAGAGAATGCCACTGGTTATTGATAATTATAGTATGTGGAAAACGGATTAAATCTCATCAACTCAGGAGTGTAGACAGTAGGCATGCTTCAAATCAAAGTAAATTACCACCTAACATTTCCTATTCTCTGCAGCCTGTGCACAGATGAAATATTTCAAAGCATTTGAGGATAAGAATTGAACAGCACAAAAAAGGAAAAAAAGGACTTAAACAGTTGATCAAAAGCTATTCGCCATAATGATTTGAAAAAAAAAAAAAAAATCCTAAAATACCTGTTATGAATTATGATAATTACAGATTTAATGAACTAAAAGAATTGTATACACATGATAAGCCTTCTGGGTATTTCCCTATTAATACAATTCAGGCCTACAAAGTAACCTGTGCACACTGAAACAAGGTCACTAACAAGAATCACAATTAGGGAAGTCCAGGCTGGTATGGCATATACAAATTAATCACTCCAGCATGTTTTGCTAATAGGAGATGAATAGGGCAGGGTATGCATAAGTGTATATATATATATATATATATGTTAATTATATGATTCTTGCAAATTCAACCCTTTTCGTCTTGCACATTCAATGTTTCATGTTTTTAAACTACATACAGTGCCAAACTCCTACTGTACTACAAATTCAGAGGGAACTTTCGGTCTGCTGAAAGAAAATTCATCGGGATGAGACCACATTGCAAAAATTCATAAAGAAAACATAACCAGTTACTTCTATGTTCAAGAAAATAAAACCTTCTCAGAAAAGAACCGGAGGCCTTTATCTGGATAATCTGCTTCGTAAGTCTCCCCTAACAAGGGATTGAATGGTTTGCATGTTCTTCCTTCAGTAGAGGCATACCCAGATACTGCAAATGCAGCTACATTTAGAATCCTCATAAGGCTGTTACCCTACGAAGAATTGTACAACAATGATTAGCCGCAGGTTACATTCTAAGGATCAGGTCGAACAGGAGACACAAAAGAATAGTGAAGTGAATTATATGGCTGTTGCTTTATATCTATCTCCACATATAAATATCATGTATTCCCAATCCATATATATTTCATACTAATGCAACTTATACATCTAGAGACAGAAAGTACACTTAATGCAGTTGGCAGAAGTCAGAACATGCAGAAAGATTTTCAATTTTGAGTGAAAAATTCATCAGCCCAAAAGAGAAGTTATCCAATTAAATAAAGTAATAATCGATGGTAATTTCAGAGAGTTATGCAGTTAATTTTATGACACCAACTTACCCTCTTTCCCCATTCAAAAGCCCGATCTAGAAGATATGAGTACTCCAAATCTTCAAAACATTTTTGCAGGGAAGAGAGAGGTTCATTGAAGTAAACTGGGAGACAAACTTTTGTTAAATCCTTCCCGATGTTATCCTTGATCATTGACCACAAACTCACTCCTTTCTCTTTTTCAACAGGGTCTGGCAATTTCTTCCTACGTTTGACATAAGGAAAGTTTGCTCCTGCAGATCTAATAGCAGGATCAATACTACCATCATCCTCAAAGGCATAGAGTTCATCATCTCCGGATGAAAATGAAGATGTCCTGAAATCAGACCCATTGCTTTTAAAAGAGCTAGAAGAAAGAAAATCCCTGGTGTCAAAAAAGGTATTGTCTTCTTCATCCGTATCTTCCTCTGCTGCATCTACTCTTTCATTTTCATCGTCAGATTCACTTGCGCTCTCTGTTGTAAGTTCACAGGAAGGTGGACTAAATATGAGTGCAAAAAAGGTTGAATTGATTACACTAAAAGCAGTCATGCAGTTATAATAAATTGCTTCTTCAGACAATCAAGGAAACTGGAAAGAAGTGTAACAAACACGTAAGACAGCATACCACTATACTTATCTTGCCTTGATCTAGATGACACTCCCGCATCTTCTAACTGTCTCTGGCTTTCATCAACGACTGTATTCTCCAGATCCACCTTTTCTGTCTACAAAAGTTTTTATAAACCATAATTTAGCCAATTAACTGGATGACCACAAGTAATCAGCAGTCAGATTCCTTTGTCCTAGCCAGCAACTTCCTTAAGTAAATATTTTTTACAAGCTCAATTCCCGACAGAGTAAACAAAAACATAATACAGAAAAACTAAAAATCATATCCAACAAAGATGATTTAAAATATTTATATTTTGATGATGTCATAAAGCAAGAGGCCAAACAAGAATAAACAATGGGCAAAGTAGCAGAAGAGAACTGTTGACAGAAATTTGGCATATGAGTTAATTAGCCCTACTACAATAAGCAATCATTATTTTTAAGAAAAAGCAAGAAACAAAAAGAAAGAAGACGAAAAGATATACAATTGGAACCAAATATAACATCCCAATACCATTGAAGCAACTTCATAAAATGGCGATAGTTGTAGAAACAAATTACCATAAGTCACTCCGGGAATAATCACCATTCTGAAGGATTAGAATTCAACACACCATATCATATCCAAGAAATAAAAGGAATTTACTTCCCAAATTGTTAAATGATTTGGAGTTTTGGTAAGAGACTCAGATAGTATACAAAATCCAGTGGATAGCAGCTATTCTACACAGCACACTTAACACGCACCACCCAGTAACAAGGTTACAGAACATAGTTATAAATCTAACAGGCATTCAGGAATCTTGACAAAACAAAATAAGATTCCATATATTGGATTTCAAAAGGCTTTAACTGTATACCTCTAACTGTCGTAGTGTGTCTGTCAAGAGCCAATACTTCTGCCTCAGTATCATCAATTGATTCTGCAGGGATGCAAACTCATTCCTCATGATTTCTTCACTATCTTGAATAGCAGCCTCGCTCAATCCTTCCTCTAATAATCTCTGCCTCAACCTGTCTGTTGAAACAGCTAAATTGTCCATGTTGGCCATTAACTCACTGTTGGACATCCTTGGGAACATGTCTTTCACAGTTTGCAAAGCTTCCATCCATGCCATTCTGTCCTCTCTGCTCTCAGCTCTCAAATGAAGTCTCTTTGTACCAGTGAAGATTGAGAATCTCTTATCATCTGACCGGCTCTCGCGAATGGATGACACCTGCATAAAACTTTCAATTGTAAATAGCTAATGCAAAATACAATACTTCAAAATAAAATACAATAAAGAACCCCACTATATCGTGTAACCATCAATATTATGTTGAATTTGTTGTAGTAGATATCATACTTCTCATTGTCAAAATACCTTAAAGCTCTCAAAAGAGATAATAAAATAAAAGGATGAATATCATTTCAAGAAAAGATAACCAATAAGGGTTGTTTGCTGAAAGGGGATTACTAATAATCATTGTAGAATTCTTCATAGTACACAAGTACTAAAAGTAAATTGTCAAATTCTTCCATTAACATAATGCATTATGAGCTTAAACGGATTTTAAATCAAAAATGAAATCTTCAATTCATAACCTCAAGTTCCAAACAACACTCCCAGAGCTAATCTTTGGACTAGAACCAAAAAGTAACATATAATCCGAAACAAATATATTTCTAAAGTCTCTCTATTTTCATAGAATACGAAATCTAAACCCTAGTGATTTGGCAAGTAAAAAACCACACAAGCACACATATTGCGTATACAGTGCAATCGGAAGAAAGGGAACCTTTAGATGAACTTCACCAACGGGCTTCCGGCTTCTCAAGGATGAACCACTGCTTCCATTCCTGTGATGGTGATGATGATGGTGGTGGTGGTGGTGGTGGTGGTGGTGACGGGACAGTCGCCGCATGGATTCTTCCCCTATCACTCTGGTTCCTTTCTCAGTGACCTGATTAACCATAATTTTATCCGGACCATGGATCTTATAATAACTCAACACTCCATCTTGCAAAACAAACCATCTAGGTCTCCAACCCTTGCCATAATTGACCCATTTATACAGAACTCCAGATATACCATTCCCCACGATATCATTAATCTTCAACTCGCGGCTGTTATAGTTATGATTGTGATTGTTGCTGTTAATCGGAGCACCGCCACCGGAGACACAATCAGAAGCTGAATCGCGTGCCGAACCAACCCTAGAGATCGCGGAATTCTGACTCCTGCTGAGCGGATCGGACATCGAAACTGGCGGCATGTCGTAGCTTCTATTCATAGTCATCGGCGTCGTGCCGCAACAGAAGGGATGCATAGCATAGCAATTACAATAAGATTCAACACAAGCCGCATCGATTTTTACCAACAACCAATAAACGGCCGCCGATCGATCATGCTCACATCGACCAAGGATTGGAATCCAGCAGAACCAATCTGCCGACAGTGGATGATAAAGATGCGGATTCCGATGGAATTTGCGATGTGATTTGTGGCAGAAGCCGGCGGTTATCGCGACGGGTGGGCACAGGATTTGGAGCAACGTGGCAATGGCAGCCGAAGCCAATCACCAAACACAATTTACAAATACTGACACCCCAGCGAGAGAGAAACTTTATTAAGCTCTTCTTCTTTCCTCTCTTTCTTCTACCCTGCGATCGCCACTTGACCCACCCGACCCGATTCGTCTGATAGACCTATCCGAATTAGTTGCAGGGCTGACTCAAGTAAAAATATGCTTGCTTAGCACTGTCATAATACTCGTCAATTCCTAAAGCAATTTATTCGTTTTTTTTAAAGTTTATGTTAATTTACTCTTCATATAATTTTAAAATACACTTATAATTATACATTAGTTCGCCCGATGCAAAATTTAAATAAATTATTTAAAAATAATATTATTTTCATTCTGTCAAATTAATCTATCTTTATTTTCTTAGCTGTCCACGAATTTTAGTAAATAATAATTAAATTTAAAAATTTAATAACAATTATATTACTAATAACAATGTCAATGATAATTTAGATTATTCTTATTCGGTTTAAAAATTTTGTGTTGCATGTTATTTAATTCTCATGTACTATCCAATCAACCTTATGAATTGAGAAAATAAAATATTCCACCAAATTACGTATTTTTCTATTTCTTTATTAGACTCTTACTGTTACATTCGCATCATAAGTTGTATATTACATATAATTATGATAAAAACTAAAATATGAAGATATATATCAGATTTATTCTTTTAAAAATTTAAATTTAAATCAACATTATTCATTTAGCTGCACCATTTCAATAAATATAAATTATTTTTTTTTTACAAAATATCAATCAAAATACTATTTAAATAAAATTTCAAATTTTATTTCAAATCAATTTCAAACCATAACCAAATAAATATTTATTATCTTAAAAATATTTAAATTAAATTGTTGCAATACATACATACTACATTTGTGAAGTAAGTTTCACATCATTTTTTTACAAGTTTTTTATATATTTTTCAATTGTCCGTCCTATACATGATATTATTAGTTTTTTTTTTACAAAAATATTTTACTATATGATAATAAATAATATAAAAACCTATTATAATTATAAATACCTATTATAATTACATTGTGTTTTGTTCTTTTTATATTTATATTTTATTTTTTGAATAAAACAGTTATTGGATGTGGTGTTTTATATGCAATATATATTTATATAAAATTATAAGATTGTATGAGATTAAAAAAAAAAAAAAAAAAAACTCAAGTCTTGTATTTAGTTTTTGTTAAAAATATGACTATTTTGAATTAATTTTGTTTAAAGCAATTACACCAATAAACTAAATCAAATTGCAAAATTTTCTTTTTAATTGATAATATTAATTATATAATAGTAGTATTTTTAATTATAATATTTAAAGTGACTAACATATAAAATTCAACTCAATATTCACATAACATAAGCACAAAATAGATAATACATGATTCCACCGAAGTTTAGCAAAGGATTTTTGCCATATGTTTTATTTTAATTAGAAGACATGACATATAGGTAATATATATTAGATTGTATATAAATTATTTTATCGATTTATAATAAATATATTATTATATTTTAAATTTATAAAATTTTATATTCTACAAAATGATATCAGGATATGTTTTATTAATTTAAATTTTAAAATATATAAATACACATATTATTTAATTTTATTAAACAATTCAATATTAACAAAATAATATAATTTATTGAATAAAATAAAATTATATATTTTAACCCAATTAAATAATATAAAATTTATTAAAAAATAAAATATATTTAATATAAATAAATAAATTAAATAATAGTAAATAATAGTATAATTTTTTGTTTCCATAAATTTTTTATAAAAAAGTATCCATTTCCTTTGTTAGTAACTGTACTATCTACCTAACATTACAAATACCCTTACAACTTACAATATATTACACAAATGTCATTACTTTTATATCATACATACTAATAAGGTTATTTTAGTCATTTCTACTTTATTCCTACTATATCCCAATATAATACTAATATTTCTAAAACTACGTGCAAAAAGTAAATGGATTCTGGGACAGAGGGAGTAATAATAATATAATTAATTAATGACAAAATAAAAATATAATCAAAAAAATAATATATGTGTACATATATTGTTACATACAAAATTTATAATTAGAGTAAGTGGCCAGAATAGGAGGAGATGTGGGCCTGTCACTGAGCCCATCAGGCGGCTAAGGGGTTTTTCAAGGCAGTCGGTCGGCCTGCAGTCTGTCTAAAGTATGCTGGGCGGTTGAGTAGTCGTTCGGGACCAGCCGTTCAAAAAGGAGGTAAGGTACCCAGAGGCGGTCGGTCGAGCCAGTTGGATTCTATAACTTGTGGGAGCGGTTGGCGAGACGGGTAAGACACATGTCAATGGAGGAGAAATTGGTGGGCGGTTGATAGCAGTTGCTGTAACCGACCAGACAACTGTTCAAAACGTTTCTTTAGGGAATATTTAAGGATTTGGGTCTATTCTGGGAAGGGCATCTTCAATTCTCAGAAAAAGCAAAAATTAATTGCAAATTTTCTTTTGGGGGTTACCTTTTATTTTTCATATATTTGACTGCTTTATGCTACAAATAAATTCTCCTTTCAAATTCGATAGTATTTTCGAATTTTATTTTGTTTGTTGGAAAAATCAAACAACAAATTGGCGACCACAGTGGGAGAGAAAGCAAGATAGCTAATCCTACTTCCAATAATGACTTTATACGTTTACATTCCGGGTGAATTATCAGTAGAAATACAATAGCAGGCACCCAATCTCAGAACAATACCACCGGTGTCGGAGTTTCTGCAACGACATCAAATCCAACCACAGTTGTTTCTACTACAGGAGGGACATCTCAAGTGCAACCTGAATGGTTGACTTATGTTCAGCAATTGAACAATCAACAGATGACTACCATACAAACAATGCTGCACGATCAACAAAATTTAATGCAGAACATGTTGGATCAGACGTTGTCCAAAGTCACACTACATTCAAACACGCCTCCAACCTTGTCACCTTCTCGCTTTCAGGCAACTTTTCCAGGATCAGTGTTTGCAGGGCCATCATACGTTGATAGTACATTACCAAGCGTCACAACTTTCAACCGAACAAATAGGGAGAAGACTCATGTAACTTTCCTAAATAATATTCCTTTGGGACCAAGAGTTGATAATACTCAACCAAATATCGTAAGGGAAGACAGACAAGGGGGACATATGCATGATCCTATTCATAGCCCTAATCATCAACATTCTCGTTTGGATCCTGAAGAAATTGCGCATGTTTTGAGGATTCATTTCGGTTTGAATCCTCATGTGGCCAACCGCCTTGCCTATCAGAGACCTTTTTAATCATCAACAATTATCCGCTCCCAAGGAATTATCAACCACCCGACTTTCATGGTTTCTCAGGAGAAGTTGGATCCTTCACCATAGAGCACGTGGGTCGTTTTACAGCGCAGTTAGGAGAAGTCGGTAATAACCCTTTTTATAAATTGCAACTATGTGGTTTGTCAACTTACCACCTGGACAAATACAAACCTGGGAAGGTTTAGAGATGACATTTCATGCTAGATTTTCTTCAACCCTTTACCAACTGTTTCTCTTACCGATTTGTTGGAAATGAAACAATGTTCAGAAGAGTCAGCCTCGCAGTTTATCAAAATGGTACGATTGATGAAACGACGATGTCCTACAATAATCAATGAAAAAGAGATGACCAATTTAGTGGTCCGCAATATGCATGTTCGCCTGAGAGAGGCACTCACTGCACATGACGTAGAAGATTTGGCAAGTTTGGCATCCAAGGCTGGACGTTTAGAATCTATCTTCAGAAAAAAAGATCAAAATTTTAGGCGTAATAAAGTTCAACATATGACTAGTATAGAAACATAAACATATAGCCCTGATTTTGATCAAACAGAAGAAATGGCTACCGAAATCATCTGTGGAAAGCCTTATGTGTGCTCCAAATTAAAGCCATTGCCAGGAACTGAAGGAAGAGATCAACCCGCATTCGACAGTTCAAAGACTGACGAAATATTTGATATTCTGTTGACAGATGGCCAGATCCGAATTCCAAAAGGGCAAAGATTGGCTACTAAAGAAGAAATCAAAGGAAGACCATATTGTAAGTGGCATAATTCCTTCACATACAATACAAGCCAATGCACACACTTCCGAAAGGAGATTCAAAAGGCCATCAAGGCAGGACGGCTCAAATATCTTGCTCTGGGTGTAGAACAACAACCTTTTCCAAAAGTAACCACAACAATGGTTGACATACAAGCAAAGCCCAGACCGAGAAGAGTAGATCAATCAAAAAATTGCCAACAAAAAGAAAGATTCAAGATTTATGAAAAGCCAGTGGCAGAAAAATGGGATAACCAAGACGGTTCTTGTGAGGTGGAGCTAAAGGAACAAGTATTGGTCCGAGACCATCCGACTAGAAGGACCGGCCTGGTCGGGGGCAATTGGGTTCAGAATAAACAACCTCTACCAGTTGATATTGACCCTCGATTTCCAGGTATGAATCGTACCCAAATTCGTAATGCTAAACGCAGGTACTCTGCAAGGTACAGGAAAGGAATCCCTTCAACGAGACAGCCGAACGACTTCCAAGTCGCTTCTGATGATCCGGCAAGAGGTCGGTCCATACAGAAGAGGGTTAAAGAAGTATCATATCAAAAAGTTGAAGGTTTCAAACGTCAGTATTGTAAACGGATCAACATCAATCCATCCCTTGAAGAATTTCGTTTAGAATCACTGACATCTCAACTTGGAAACAAGGCGAGAGAAGAATTTCATACAACAGAAGTGGATACAAGATCCGTCAAATCTCGGCTGGGTCCAAGAGTTCCCTGCCGAATGACAGAAGCTCATTGGATTGAAGAAGAACCTTTATGGGCAAGTCTGGTGGATGATTCTATAGAAGAACCAGAATGGGCAAAAATTTCAGATCCTGATTTTCAGTCAGAGGTTCCTCCGATAGTTTTCCCTCTTATCCCAGAAGGTACAACATCCTATTTGAAACCTCTGTATATTAATGCACATATATGCGGGAAACCGATTGCAAAGGTTTTCATAGACAATGGAGCCGTTTTCAATGTTATGTCGTTGAAGACCCTCAAGAAGTTAGGGAAAGGAATTCAAGATTTGTCTCCAATGGATTTCGCCGATGACTAGTTTTACAGGGCAACCGACCAAACCAGAAGATATGATGGTAGCCCCAATTGAAGTTGGACCGAAATAGATTTCTTCCGTGTTTTTGTAGTGGATGCAGACACTACATATTCGATCCTACTTGGGCGAGACTGGATTCATGCATCTCAATGTGTACCATCATCACTACATCAGTAATTAATGTTCTGGGAGGGCAATCAAGTCTTTAAAATGGAAGCAAATGACAACCCTTTTGGTGCATCGGAGAAGGTTGAAGAATCAGTATTTTATTTCAGTCACCTACTGATGACGGCAAAAAATGTGTTTGTTTTTACACAATTCACATGGAATTTATAATCGAAAAATCAGTGAGTGGAAATTTATAGAAAATGATCAGATATAGTAATTTTTGTGGTTGTAGACCCTGAGTAGTCATCACAATTATTTATACTCTTTTTACTGGTGAGTTTCCAGGTCGAACACAAGGATTTTAAGTCATGAATTTCAACGGTGAAGATCTTGAAAAAGCGATGAGAATGCAGGAAAGGGATCCGCTTACAGCAGATCCGATAACGAGACTATAAAAAGCGGTAAGGAAAGCGATAAAGATGGAATGAGCGGGAGTGAGCGAAGCGAAGGCGAAAGATGAAGTGCCAGCGGTAACCAGATGATCGGGACATGAGCGGAAGCGAGGACCAGATGAACGGGACATGGGTGAGTGGCGGTTACCGAGTGAACGGGACATTAGCGAGCGGCACATTATATGTATATATATATAGATGAACGACCGAAAGTGAAGGAGAGATGTTGTGTCTGAACTGTGCGTTACTAAATGGCTAGATGTCCCTTAAGGCAATGAGCAAGCGATGAAATTGTGTTATCGGAATTATATGTATTTACGGAAGCGGTGAGAAGGAAGTAGTGTAATTATATAAACTGAATATAAAGAATTCATAACACTGGAATTTTTGACCTTAAGGAATTTACAATAAGACTTCAATGACACCCAGATTCAAGATATTATAAGAAAGAAACCATACTGTCACTAGGAATCTCTGCGACCTAATAGACCACCATTAATTTTCCCGAAATCTGCCTCATTAGTGGCTTTACCCTTCTGTTACCTCTTTTTAATCAAAATTGAATTCAGAACAGCAGTTAAGCAGGTCGACAAGGCTTCCGCGTACTTAACTACATTGAACTACCTTGAGACCGCTTTTGGCGCATAACAAGGCTCAAATAATCAATTCTTCTTTAGCTCTAAACCAGTGAAATGGAATTCTCTAATTTCGAACTTTATATAAGTGTGTAAAAATGGTGGAAGAATTTAGGATAAAGAACTGAATGATATTTTATTATCTACTACGAAAGCGTGAAAAGACTGACACTATAAAACTGTAAATGAAAGCAGTAATCTAATCTAAGAAAGCTGTAAAGACTTGGCCAAGGGAGAAGGAGAACTTCTACTCCCTTGGCCATTCCTGTGGAGAACTCCCTTACAGGGTTGGAGCTCTCGAAAATAGGAAGACGACTTGCTGCGTAGTACTTGCTAAGAGTGTTTAAAAATCGAAGTATCGATCTTTTTTACATACAGATATCTGGCCCTATTTATAGTAGGTGAAACGGGACAGTTGCAATCAGTTGTTGGGCAGCTCCAACCGCTGGGCAGTTAGGCGGTTTCTGTTAGTTATTTTGTTGAGGCAGTTGCTGGCCATAACTCCCAGGGCGCTTGCTTTGATTGCCTTGAACTGTAGGGGCGCAGATCTTCCTCGCTTGCCGAAGTGCTGGAGGGCATCAGCGCAGCTAGGCTCACTTGTGCTGGCTGGAAATGGAATGGCTGTACCACTGCAGTCGGAACACTTAGTTGGAATCTGATGATAGTTTGCAGCGGTGGGTGTCTGGGTTGTCGCTTGCAAGCGGGAGAGGCTGTCGCTTGCGGGCGGTGAAGGCTGCTGCTTGCCTCTCATGCCTTAGTATTTTCAGGATGTATTCTGGGCGCTTGCGAGCGGAGGTGACTGTCGCTTGTGGCGTCTGCCTTAGCTTTTCTGGCACCAGACTACCGCTTAAAAAGGCAAAAATCGTTAATAATCTCAACAACAAATTCTGGATCATGCAAAGCGATATATATCAATAATGTATGCCATTGATGAATCATTGTGATGGTTTTTATACAAAAATTCGAGTAATACACAGTTTTGTCAAGTTAAGAATATACTCCTATTTGGAGTTATCACATACCCCCAATGTCTCAGGCATTTATGGCTAGTGAATACCCAAGGAAGGGTTATAGATTCACCAGCCAGAATTCAATGTTCTTCTAAAAAGAACAATCCTAATGTATGGCTCATAAGAAAGCCAAACTTATCTTATAATATATCTTTTATGGATAGTACAAATTTGGAAGATTGTAGTTTACTTATTAATCAGTTTTACTTAAATCAGCTTATGGAAAAGGCAGAAAAAACTAAAAAAATGTATGATGTTCATTACCAGGAAGATGAACAATTTCGGTGGCCAGATTTGTTAGAAAAGACAGAACCAGCCTTTTCAGCTCAAGACCCTTTATTGGAATTCAATTTAGGAACCGACTTGGTTCCAAAATAATAAGGATAAGTGGTTATTTGTCTGAGGAGCAACAGGTAATGATACTTGAGGTTATAAAAAACAATATTGATTGTTTAGTTTGGGATTATTCTGAAATGCTTGGTTTGGAAAGAAATCTGATAGAGCATCGGTTGCCTATTAGAGAAGGTTTTAAACCTTATAAACAGCCCCCAACGCGTATAAGTCCTGATTTGATGCCTCAAATCAAAGAGGAAATCCAGAAACTTCTTAAAGTGGGTTTTATTCGGCCTTGCCGATATGCAAAATGGTTCGCAAATATTGTACCAGTGGTTAAAAAGAATGGTAAGATTAGGATATGTATTGATTTCAGGGATCTTACCATAGCCACTCCTAAAGACGAATATGTGATGCCTATGGCCGATATGTTGATTGATTCAGCAGCAGGACATAAAATCCTCAGTCTGATGAATGGTTATGCAAGATATAATTAAATCTTTTTGGCAGAAGAAGATATTCATGAGACAGCGTTTAGGTGTCTAGGAGGTTTAGGTATTTACGAATGGACGGTTATGTCATTCGGTTTAAAGAATGCTGGGGCAACTTATCAAAGGGCCATGAATTCAATCTTTCATGATCTTATTGGCAAATCTATGGAAATATATATTGATGATGTTATCGTCAAATCTTCCAGTTTCGAGGAACACTTGAGAGACCTGAAAGATGCCTTCGAACGAATGAAGAGGTACAAGTTGAAAATGAATCCAACTAAATATGCTTTTGGTATACCAACTGGAAGTTTCTTAGGATTTTTGGTACATGAAAAGGGGAATTGAAATCGATGCCAATAAAGCCAAAGCAATTCTATCTATCCGATCACCCAAAACGGTCAAGGAAGTACAGAGTTTTTTTGGCAAGGTAAATTATCTAAGAAGGTTCATTTCTAATGCTGCAGGAAAGGTCAGACCAATTACTAAATTATTAAAGGGCGGGGCAAACGCTTTTGATTGGGGACCAGATCAGCAGACAGCTTTAGAAGCTATAAAGCAAGCCTTGATTCAACCACCTGTGTTAATGCCTCCCAAGGAAGGTCGGCCCTTCAAACTTTATTTGGCAAATACACATGAAGTGGCCAGCTGCTTACTAGCACAAGATGGTGATGATGGAAAGGAAAGGGCAATTTATTATTTGAGTAAGACCCTCATAGGACCATAAATGAATTACACTATGCCAGAAAAAATGTGTTACTTATTGGTGTTTGCATGCACCAAACTTGAGCATTATATGCTGCCTAGGAGAATAGAGGTTATCTCAAAGGGAGATCTTATCAAATTAATTTTGCAAAGATCTACCATGCAGGGCAGACTTATGAAATGGACCATTAAATTGGCTCATTTTGATTTGCAACATTCTCCATTGAAGGCAGTTATAAAAGCCAAGCAATAGCAGATTTTTTGGCAGACTTTTCGAGGGATAATCAAGAGCAGATCGGATGCATATCTTATGTGAGTACCCGAAATTGGTTAATGTTTTTTTATGGTTCTACTTCTAGAAATAGATCAGGTGCATGGGTCTTATTGAAAGGACCAGATGGCCAAAAGATCAAATTACAACTGCAATTAGAAGCCATGACCCATAATTCGGCAGAATATGAGGTTTTAATCTTGGGGTTGGAAGCCTTAATAGCCAGGAATGTTCATTCGATGGTCATAAGAGGAGATTCTCAATTGGTAATCAATCAGGTAACCAAACAATATGTTTGCAATTATCCTCATCTACGCAGATACCGGGATATTGTATGTCGTTTTTTATTAATAATCTCAGAGGTGATAATTGAGTTCATCCCTAGGAAGGAAAACCAACTTGCAGATGAGTTAGCTCAAAAAGTTTGTAAAGAAATCCCGAAAGATATTTGTGCGGAGATCGAATCGGAAACAGAATATGGGACCGACTGGAGGACAGAAATTGTCATGTATCTACAAAATCCAAGAGCGAATGTGCCGATAGGGATACGGTTAAAGGCTCTACGATTTCAGTTGATAGAAGAAGTCTTATACAAAAGGACGTTCGACGGATTACTTTTAAGATGTTTAGGGTCTGAACAGGCTTTGGAAGTCATGACAGAAGTACACAGTGGGGTCTGCGGAGCTCATCGAGTAGGTTTGAATATGAGATGGGCTATTCATCGTTTGGGTTTCTTTTGGCCAAAGATTTTCGAAGATTGTATACAATTTGCCAAAGGTTGCCAAGAATGTCAAAAACATGGACAGTTGAATCACTTGCCAGTCACTGAATTGCAAGTTATGGTAAAACCATAGCCTTTCAAGTCTTGGGCCATGGACATCATTGGTAAAATACATCCTCCTTCATCCAAACATCATTGTTTTATTTTGACTGCAACAGACTATTTCACCAAATTGGTCGAGGCGGTTGCTTTAAAAAATGTGAATCAAAAGGGGGTGTCTGATTTTGTGTTAAATCAGATCATTTATAGGTATGGTATTTCTCATTCTATAACCACCGACCAAGGTCTGGTTTTCACTGGGGAGAAATTTCTAAGCTTCTTGGCAGAGTTTGGTATTCGGATAAACCATTCTTCGCCTTATTATCCCCAAGCTAATGGGCAAGCAGAGGCAGCCAATAAGATTATTATTGGAATTATAAAGAAGATGGTTGAGGGGAATCCAAAAAAATGGCATTTGCTGTTACCTCAGGCCTTATGGGCACACAGGAATAGCAGAAGTTCGGCCACGGGATTCTCACCATATCAACTTACTTTTGGGCAAGATGCTGTGTTACCAGCCGAAATTCAGGTATCATCTGGACGTATAAGTTTTACTACTTGAAAGTTTACTGAAGAATATCAACAAGTTATGTTCAGCAGTTGGAGAGTCTGGATGTCAACCGACTCCATGCAATCGATCAGATTGTGAAACAGAATGAACTCAGGGCAAAGTCTTATGGAAAGAAAGTCCTTTATAAGACTTTCCAATAAGGAGATTTGGTTTGGAAGACCATTCTTCCTACATACAAGAAGATTGATCAATTAGGAAAGTGGTCTCCGAATTGGGAAGGGCCATTTATTATTCAAAAGGAGATTGAAAATTGTGCCTTTATTATAGTGAATCAAGAGGGTAAAAGAGTACATGATTGTATTAATGCTAGATATCTGAAGAGGTATTTCCTGCCTTTTCAGATAAGAAGAATGCATAAAACAAGATTTTTTATTCAGAACCCAAACATAAGGTGTTCGGACCCAAAATGGGGTTTATTCATTATCAGACATTGATATGTGCGGGGGACCTCCTTCTTCCGAGTCAGAATCTTCATCCCAGTGATTAGAAATTAATTCTGGTTCCTCATCAAGAAGGTCTTCTAAATCAGGTCGGTATCGTTCCCATTGATTTTACATTTCTTCTAAGTCATGATTAGTAGAGCTTTCATGTCTGTTATGGCCTGTCGTTCACGATCAACAAGAGTGCGTAGTCTTGAAAAGACTGTGCGCTGATTGGAAAATATATGATCCCAACCAAGGTCTGGAAGTATGGCTGTCACGTGATGTTCAATCAAGTCCATATGGTGATCAATATCATGAAGGCGGCTTAGGATATCACGAAGAGTTTCATATCCTCCCAGAACGTTTTCCATCAGGCGAATAAAACGATGAATGGTCTTTCTTCCTCGTTGGGAAAATCTGAATTTGAAATCCAGTTGCTTGAGTATGTGTAACAAGTCTTCAGCATAGCCACCGACGGGATGGTTACCCACAAAGAAGGGTTGAATGACACCTTCCCAGTTTTTTGAAGGAACATGGGGTCGATTGTGTGACATTTTGATTAATACCTCAGGTATGTCCCAATTTTAGGTTCTTTTCGAAGTTTGTTTGCTTTATCACAAAGGGAAATGATTTTTATAAGGGAAGTAAGTTTGATTTGGTCCCTGGAGATTCGGAGTACAGAAAGTGATCCTTGTCGATAGGAGAAACAAAAAGTGTTTACTAAGTAAGAATTTACAAAAATTTACAAAAGGACCCCCAGGACAGTTTTGATTTGGGACCATTTATCTTCGGCCCTGGACAGCCGTCGGTTGTCAGCAGCCGCCTGATATCTTCTGATAGATTGAGACCGGGTTTGAATCTTTAATTCTTAATCTAAGTCGGCCTCATTCTTCTTGTATCGCTCAATTAGGCGCTGTTCGTCGGCGACGTGACCCTCCAGGATGGACTGTTCTTGACAAGCGCCCTAAATTCTGCCTCCTTCTTCTGGATCGACTCATCTATTTGAGTCTTGACGCTGAGGAGTTCTTCTAACCGTCCAGTAGCTTGCTGAAGGGATTCCCTGGTTTTGGCCAATGAAGTTTCCAAACTTATTTGACCCACACTTGGCTGGGATGGTTCGGCTGATAGGAGTCGGACGAGTAAGATGTCGTTTCGAAGTTCAGTCAATCTCTCCATCAGCCGATGTAGAATTGGGGCGGCCGCCGATTCCGAAGGACTTTGAAATAAAAGGCCACCAACCGCCTGAAAAAGACTTTCCAGAAAATCTGACCCCAAGTCGGGGAAAGGTCGGTTGACGGCCTGGGCAAAGATGGCCTGAATATCCGCCGGAATCGGAATGGCTGATAGAGGGGCTAAATCAAGATGTCCCTAAGAGAAAGTTCAAATGTTTAGATTTCATGGAGAGAATATATTAAAGATCACTTATTGGATTTTTTTACTTACTTCCGGGCGGACCGTGGTTATGGAGGGCGCAAGGAGCGTTGTCGGTTGGGGAGGACGGGCAGCGGGCACCGCAATAGCCGACTCTTCGGCTGCTGCGAAAGGTCGCTATGGTGCTGACCTGGGCCCCTAAAAGTTGAAGTATGAAGTATTTAATATTTTTTGAAATTGGTTCTTAGTAATGAAAGGGGAGCCTGAAATTTCTACCAGGTTAACAGAAGTCTCCGAATCAGAAGAGGAAATCTTTTCTATTTCCTGCAAGGGACCTCTTGGTTGGGCGGCCGCAGGTGGTTCTACAGCCCGTCCTGCCGCCTCTGGAATAGGTACGGCTGCCCTCGGGATGGCTGCGCTTGGGGCGGCTGCAGCCGGTGCATCAGGTGTGACTTGGACGGCCGCAGCTGCGGACATTTCCAGCAGTTGTGCCGGCCGCACCTAAGACATCTCCAGCAATCGGAGCGGCCGCGATGGGGGCGGCTGCAGCAGAGACGACTGTAGCATGAGCGGCTACCGCAGGAGCGGTTGCAGTTGGGGCGGCTGCAGAAGGTGCGATTGGTTCCTCGCTAAGAAAGGACGAGTCCGAAGCCTCAACTGGCAGTCCGCCCATCTGTGAAGCAGTTGCCTCGCTATCATAAGAGACCCTTGCTACTACCGGTTCAAGTGGTGAAGGCGTCTACAATAAATATGTTAGATACATTTTTCAAGTGTGAATTTTGAAGTTATGAAAATCGAGCGTTAAGGAAATTTACCGGGTCTCTCAGCGGTACTGGCAAGGATTGCCTCCTAGACTCCTAGTCGGGGCCCCTTCCCGACCACTCATCGGCTGAGAGGGAAAGGATTGCCTCTTAGTCAGGTCCTCCTCCCGACTAATCATCGGCAAAACAAGTAATGGTGTATGCGTGTGGATGGGTAGAGCCTGCGATTAAATGACATAGGTCAGTACATGAATTGTTTGAATGTGAGGAAAGTAGTAAACATGAGTTGGTTACTTGAGGCTGGTCAGCTGGTAAGCTTGGTGGTTCGGCCGGGGCTTGGACGGTCGCTGCTGCCGAGGTCGGGCCTGATAGTAAGAGTAATATAAGTTAGAAAGTTAAGGAAATATCATAATAAATCAAGAGTTTTTGAACATACCTAAACGGGGCCGGGTCCTTACGGGCATCCAAACTGATAAGAAGTCCTTCAGAGCCTGCTGGTCTGTTCCAGAGGTAGGGACTGTTTGGATCTGGAAAGCTTTCCTTTTTTTTTTGGGGCGCTTGACCCGGCACCCGAGGCGGCTACTTTTCTTCGGGCGCTAATAGGTCTAGCCGCCCCTAACACCACGGCAGGCTGGGGCAGGAGAACACCCAGCAACCGATCTTTTTCGGGGGCAAGTAGGGCCCAAATGACCGACCACCATTCGCGGAAAGTCTCAGCAGTTTCGGGAGAAGAATGGAAAGGAATATAAGAGTTGAAAGTTATGTAGGTGGTAAGTTGGGAAACATAAGAAGAAATCAACTCAGGGATGACCCGCCCGTACGGACTTTGAGGTATTAGGTGGGGACGGGCGATGGGGCTAGATAAGCCTTGGCAGCAGCCGAATTGGCGTGCTAAAAATTGAGGCTGATAACTAAAAGTATAAAATGATTTTTGGCCTTTTTTATCAAATTTTTTACTAACAAATAAGGACCTGGGTTTAAGGGCAGAATCCCAGGCAAAAGAAAAGGTCGGATGAGGAAGAGGGTCAGGTTCGGCCATGGGTGAAGACACAGGAAAAGGCCAAAAAAGACCAGACGCGTAGCCAACATACCTCCTATATACGTAAAATCGGGAGTTGCTGCGGTTGTCGGCTAGAATAGCGGTTATGATGGGATCGGATGATTGGAGGTTGCCGTGGCCTAGGCAGAGTCGATTAAGGGCTAATCCCAAAGATTTGTCGGGTGTTGGGGAAATAAGAGGACGGCCAAGTTGGAACACGTCATGAAAATAAAGCTGGAACCAAAGTTCCAGGAACCAAAAAGGGCCCGACGCGGCGGTATCTAATTTCTTACTATCCCTATCTACAAGACGGGTACTAAACTTAGAAAGACCTTCAAAAAGATTGGCTAAGAAAAGGGTGCCAAGCGAAAAGAAACGACCTGATGCTATATAAATAACTAGGTCAAGATGGGAAGAAAGGACGCATTTGGAATGAGAGACTATGACATACCTACAGAGCCAGAAGAGAAGGAAGGCGACATGTTCGCGGTCGGTCACGGGGGTCCCTCTAAGAATAAATCATAAACCATACCTACAACCTTTCGTCGACCGGGGAGCCTGAATCTTGGTTATAGCTCATGCGCAAAATTTATGAATCTCTTTCCTTCAACTGCTCGGAATGATACTTCATCACTAACCACATATTCAACAAGCTTCAATGCACACCTTTTTTGAAAAAAAAAAAAAAAAGAAAATTGTTACTATTTGCAATGAAAATTTCAATAATAATAATAAAAAAGGTTACTATATTCAATAAGGAAAAGAGGTTCAATACACACCTTTTTTTATTGAAGAAGTACCAAACTAATGAATTTCCTTGTCCAATTCTAGAGACTCATTTGTTTATGAATCTCTTTCCTTCAACTGCTCGGAATGATACTTCATCACTAACCACATATTCAACAAGCTTCAATGCACACCTTTTTTGAAAAAAAAAAAAAAAAAGAAAATTGTTACTATTTGCAATGAAAATTTCAATAATAATAATAAAAAAGGTTACTATATTCAATAAGGAAAAAAGGTTCAATACACACCTTTTTTTACTGAAGAAGTACCAAACTAATGAATTTCCTTGTCCAATTCCTAGAGACTCATTTGTCAAAATACATTATTTTTCTTCCTTTCCAATTCCTTCGTACAGTGAACTTATCTTACATCTTCTCACCAAATGATTTTTCAACCTACTTGTACTTTCATGAGTAGTAGGAATCTTAACTTTACAATATTTGCAAATACCGATCGATTGCTTGCTTTTATTGCTTAATGTCCGAACTCCTGTTTCACAATGCAACCAATATACACTCATTTGTTTAGGAGCTACTGGGGATTTTGTTAAATCTTCTCGTGCTCGCTTACGTCTTGAGTACTTACCAGCATCTCACTATTTAGAGTTTACAAAGAACCTGAAGATTCAGACTCCATTCTGAGAAAAAAAATAGTTATTTTATTACATGAAAAAAAAGATATTTGGGGGAATAATAATTATATTAAGAAGTCTCAATCAGAAAATAATAACAAGATCAAAAACCACCGGCAACCCTTAAATTTTCACAAGAAATGATAAGAACTTCCTAAATCACTTTTCATCGGAGACCAACTACGTTTCTTTATTCTATCACATTCATATACATATATTTGTAAGTATAACGAAAAATACTTTATTTGAAGGCAAAGTGAAAAAAGAAAAAAAGAAAGAAGGATGCAGTACCACACCCAGACTCAGCAGCCCTCTTCTTTCACCTCAGATACACCAACAACAACAAAGCATAATTTTATAACTAATTAAAACCGCTAGTTATATAAGTTATGTTTATCATCCAAAATTTATAACATAAAAAATCAAATTAAAAAAATCCAAACGAAATAAAGAAGTCATATTTAAGGACAAAATTCGTATAAAAAATTAATATGAAACAAAACTTTTAAACATAAAAAATTAAATTAAAAAATCCAAAAGCAGTACAGAGATCAAATTTAAGAACCAAAATTAGAATAAAAATTCTATATAAAGCAAAATTATAAGTTTATGTATGTAAAATCCTTTTTTTGATTTGCCCTATTGGCTTCCGCTGTCAATTATTTCCTCATTTCTTCTCACTCTTCTCCTCTATATTGTAGAGAGAGAAGAAGAGAAGAGAACAGAAGGGTAGAGATATGATTTCTATGCAGTAAAATATGCAATCTTTTGAGGATTAGGTTTTACCAAAGGATGGCTGACGAGATGGGCGGGTCCGGCGAGGTGGGCGGGCGGCAGACCGACGGTGGCTGGGGGACGGATTTCTGATCAGGAACGTCGACTCTTGCGTGAAGGGGAAAGCGGCTGGAGGCTGGAGGTGAACCGCTGAAGAGAATGGAGAAGAAATGAGAGTCATGTAATAAATTAGAGTTACCTGGGTTAAGATTTTTTTAAAATAAAAAAAAAAAAAAAAAAAAAAAAAAAAAAATATTTATATTAATAGTTAATTTATGTAATTAATATATTATTAGTGCAGTATAAGACTGAAACTCTAAACGTTCTAAAATTTCGTACCGTTGTCTTACCAAAATTTTCGATAAATTTATTCATTCTCTAATGACACACCATATAGAGATATCGCATGAATTATATTAATAAAATACAAATACAAAACATAATATAATAATAAAGATACAATAAAATATATTTTCTTTTAATTTTGTATAATCACACTATATATTTAATTTATTTATGTAAGAAAATTTACATATTTTATAAAATTTACCATAGTTAAATTTAAATTTAATTGTACTTTTTATACAAATACATAAATAAATTAATTGTATGTTGCTGAAATATTTTTAAAATAAATATATTTTAAGTATTTTAAGATCTAAACTTTAGCGAACCAAAATTAAAGTAAATTATTTGAAAATTAATGTACGCTATATTAATAATTTCTAGAGCAAGAAATTTTGTTATAGACAATTTCTATAGTTATTTTGTATTTATCCATAACATTTGACACTATAATTTGATTTTATCCAAATATAAAATATATTGTTAATAAAATTCTATACAAAATAATAAAAAGAGTAAAAATTATTTTTATTACAAATTTAATAATTTAAAAAATATATATAAAATATTGGGACCTACACCGTCCTCGTAGATATATATATATATATAGATTATTACAAAAGGTAAAATTGCTCATAATTCTCATGTGGCTTCGACATTCAGCATAAAATTTCTCTATACTTTAAAATTTGTTTGACACCTCCTTATACTTAAAAAAATTATTGCATGAAACTCCACTACTATGAAACATTCCTTGTGTGATGATAAGATGATTTTCTATCTATATCTTTTGCATGGTAGAGGAATTTATGCAACATTTTTTAAAGTATAAAAGGGATGATATGCAATTATTTAAGTAAAGTGGAGATTTACATTGTTTTGAAATCACCGAGGAGTTTCATGGAATATTTTTTAAAGTATAAAGGGAAGTCATGCAATTTTTAAAATAAATTGGAAATCTACGCTGAGTTTCGTAACTACAAGGAAGTTATGGACAATTTTGTCTTACAAAAATATCATTATTATTTTTTCAAAAAAAAAAAAAGGTTTATTCTTCTATTATACTCTTCTTTCATCACATATGATTTACTTTTTTTCTGTCACATTATATATGATAATTTTCTATTTTAGTAAATTTATTCTTTTTAAATATATCTAACTGTATACACCCAAACAATTAATTGGGGCTGGCTCAGCGTAGGTGCAGTCCAAGGACATTCGCGGCCCAACATACAATCCAAAATAGCAGACGGACCTTCTGACCCGTCTAGCCCATCGTTCAAAGAGGTCCAGCTCGACTTGGGAGCAGTCCAACGAAGGCAAGAAGGTCAAAGAAGTGATTAGAAAGAGAAAAAAGTGGGATAAGATCTTATTCAAACAAATTCAAAAAAAAAATTATCTATTTAAAGAAGATCCAAGAGAGCAAAAAGGAGACGTCATTCATCATGATTCTTCTTCTTTTTTCATAATTTTTCTCTGTATTTTTTTTTAGATTTTTACAGTTTACTTCCATTAATTCCAATATAATTTTTAGCTTTCGTTCCTATTTTACCTTCTTCTTTCTTCGTAAATTTTTTCGGTTATCGCGAAATAGTCCGGATCCTTTTTTGAGGAGGCCGGGGGAACCCTACAATTAAATCAATTCCGACAGGCTTTTCCGATTAAGCCGTCGGTGGCGATTTTTTTACGACAACAGATTGGCACGCCTAGTGAACACTGACGTCTCGCGACTTTTACATACAACTTCGAGGGAAAATTGATGCCGCTGATGACTGCAGAGATGTTTAAAAACAAAGAAATTGTCGGCGATTCGTCATCGCGCCCTGCACAGCAAGCTGCCCCACGCAACGAGGCTTTCACGGCTGCTGGAAGGCCGGACCATATCATTAATCTTCCAGCCAGCATCCTTCAGGAGCAGATTCGTGAGGAAATTTAGTCATCCATTCATGGATCCACCCTGGATCTATCTCGGTACATTACCAACGTTCTGAAACCCACCATTCAGAACGAGTTTACGATGCTTCTGGAGGAAGAAACTCGAAAAAGCAAGGCCCGGAAGGTCGATTTTAGCCAGTAAGAGATTTGGCCTCCCGCAGGCCTTACAAGCCGCTCTAGCAGACCTCTCAAACACTTAAGTATGGACATGTTACTCTGTTAGGTAGGGTCTGTTAGGTAGAGGTTCTGGATCTGGAGGACCTCCGATTACCATCCAGAAGGTCGGAGAATCTCGGGCGTTGGCTGGGCAGGCCTTCTTTGGGCCTCTTCCAGCCGACGGATTTGGGATGACCTTTGGGTCAATCCCATCAACGCCACATGGGCAAAATAATCCCCTATTTCCTGGAACTACTTTCAGCACCCTAGTTCCCACTCTAGGCTTTCGAAGAAACCCAATGGCTGGACAAGAGACTTCCAATGCATGGGGGCAGGGGTGACAACAATTCCAGCACCTTCCTTTGTCCCTAAGCCTTCTGGAATGACTTGGGAACCAGAGAGATCAATCCCAATACCATTCCGATACACTGGAGGGCAGAGAGCTACTGGGGAAGGTCGATTGCTGCTGGTTCCAGTCTGCAACAAACCTACGAATATCCTGCCAAACCAACCCCCAAAAATACACCATTGCAACAGGTTCCAGTCCTTAGCGAACCTACGGAAGGCCCCCCGAGTTCGTTTCCCACAACAAGGACCTACTCATCAAGCCTTCCCACAGCCGGCGTTACACAATCCGCCGTCCGTTTAGGTAGTTTCCGAACAGCCTGGGGGGCAGGCAGAGATGGTGTTTGATAAATTTTGATTTTGCCATATTTTATAGTTTATATTTATTTAATTATTTATTTATTTTTGGTATTATTTATGTTAAGTTATTCTAATAATTGTATTTATTTCATCTTGTGTGTATAATATTAATTTATTAGTTTTTAAATGTAATTTATAATTATTTTGGTGTATAAATTAAATTAATTGATATGTTTCTTGAATGATATTTATAGGCATTATTTTATGTGCTATTTAAGTATTTAATTTTGGCTAAACTAATTTTATTTAATAAGTATTATTTATTTAAATAAATATTTGCGCGAAAGTCAACAAAAGTCAATGGTCAATGTAAAAAAGTCAATGCACGAAAGTCAAAGTCAACCGCTGCGCGGAATTCAACCGACGGCCGTGCGGAAAGCAAACGAGCACGGAATTTGAGTGGCGGCTGGCGCAGAAAGTGAGCGGCGGCTACAGAAAAGTGAGCGAGACCATAAAGCGATGGAGACCGCGTTGAGAGCGATGACGGCTGCACAAAAGTGGGCGACTGCACGGAAAGCGATGACGGCGCGCTGAAAGCGATGGCGGCCGCTTGGAAAGTGAGCGGCGACTGCACAAAGTGAGCGGGCGCGGAATTCAAGCGGTGGCCGCGCAGAAAGCAAGCGAGCCCGGAATCTAAGCGGCGGCTGGTGCGGAAAGTGAGCAGCGGTTGCATAGGAGTGCACGAGCGAGGAAGGCGAGCGGCGGCTGCATTTATGAGCGCGGAATCTGAATGGTGGCTGGTGCGGACTCCGTGAGCGGCGGCTGTGCGGAATTTGAGCGTCGGCTGTATAGGAGTGTGCGAGCGCGGAAGGCGAGCGGCGGCTGTATTTATGAGCGCGGAAAGCAAGCGACGATTGCAATTACTATCGCTGGTCAGCGGCGGCTGTATTAATTGCCGCTGGTCAGCGGTGCTTTTACTGCGCCGCCGCTAATTTCTGCACAGAATTTCGCTGTATTTATGTCTCCTGCACCTTCAGCTGTTGCATTTACTGCACCCTCTCAGTTCCCTTAATTAAATTTTTGCACTATTTATTAGTCTTTTTTTTTTTTGTTGTTTTGTCTATAATTTTAATTCTAGAACCTTTTAGGAAATAGGTAGTTATTAGTAGTTATATTAGTAGCTATTTTTAGAGGTAGTTAATAGCTATTTTAGAAGTTAGTTATTTATGGTTATTTTTGGAGGTAGTTAGTAGTTATTTTTAGAAGTAGTTATTTATAGGCGGTTGTAACCGCCAAGCTTCTAAAAGCTTTTCCCCCGATAAATATCCCCTCTAATTGTATACATACACACCCATATACACCATATATACATAATCATACACTCCATTTTTCTCGATTTCTTTTTTCCATATTTTTATCTAGTTTAATAATACGAGATTTTCAGTTTTGTGTCGCGAGCAAACTGATTTTCTCCCTATTTTATTTTAATTTCAGCATATTATTTTAGCTAGTAAAATTTCTATCATATTTCTCAACCTCACTTTCACCCAAAAATTTCATGTTCGATTTGAATTGTTCAAGTTGGATTTCGACAAAAAGTTACGGAAGGGCGATAGAAAAATCAACTATTTCAGCCTTGTTTCGTGTCACAAATAGATTCCGGGTAGTTCAACGTAGCTAAGTACGCGGGAGCCTTGTCGACTTGCTTAGTTGCTGTTCTGAATTCGATTCCGATTAAAGAGAGGTATCAAACGGGTAGAGCCACTAGCGGAACGGTTGGAAGAATAATTCATGGGGCATAGGCGGTGGTCTATTGGGACATAGAAATTTCTAGTGACAGTAGAGTTTCTTGCTTATAATGTTCTTCGTCGGGTGTCGGTGAAGCCTCATTGTAAATCCCCTAGGGTCGAGTACCAACCAAGTCGAGAATCGGCTTAAGCGAGCAAATGCGATCACGCTCATTCCTCTGAACCACCCCACAATTATACATATATTTTTCGCTATCACGCCATCGTCATCCCGCTCATTTCATCCATGGAAATCTAGCCATTAAAGAACGCAA